TTCTGGTAACTTAGACTAGACCCTAAACCCTAAACCCCTAAACCCTAAACCCTAAACCCCTAAAGCCCTAAACCCCTCAACCCTGAAGTGGGCTCCATAGCACCCTTCTTCTGGTAACTTAGACTAGACCCTAAACCCTAAACCCTAAAGTAGGCTCCATAACAAGAGCCCAGGAATCCCCATGGGCATGGATTGCGCATTGCGGCACACTCGGATGCTGGGGCCTTTTCCTTTCAGGAACTCTAGAGGGGGTTTAGGGTCCTTTAAGGGGTCCGTTAGGGTTTAGGGTTTATTAGGGTTTGGGGTTTAGGGTTTATTAGGGTTGACGGTTTATTAGGGTTTAGGGTTCCCCAGCAAAGCAGGTTATGCTTCTCGATTATATGTGTCTTGGGTAGGTCTCTAAATTTCTAGGTCCCCAAGCTAGTACGGCACCCTTATAAACAGGACCCTAAAAGGCACTTTAATTTAGAGAAACGCCCATATACGTATATACATGTGTATATATATATATACACATACATGCTACCCCCCTGAAACCTACCTCGAAGCCTTCTGTTGTACTTTCTAGACTACGTTGTTCCGACTCTACTCCGAACACAAATTTCATATCCCACAACTGTTCTAGCCAAGATAAAGATACTACGTATTGCTTAGAACTCCCGAAACCATTCAAGCCAAGATAATATAACGAAGTATTTGCCTTACATTCTCTTTATACCAATGTCAACCTCATGTTTAGAATCCCCGCGTAATTTTAGACTCCACTTCCCAGAACGTAATTTACACCCCCCCGTAGTTGCAGAATCCAAGCCGCCGGAGCGGACAAAAATGTAATCAGAATCTTGTTTATATAAATGAAAGCTCAAAGGAACTGAAAGGCCTTAAGCTGATGCTTGATCCGGACTCTTAATACGGACGTAGGGTATGCTATAGGGTATTCCATGAGGTATTCCAAATTTTATCCTAGAGGGTGCGGATGCCAGACAGGCTGTTTTGCGCTGCAGTGTCTTCAATACTTTGTGAGCTCCGGCACAGCTTTTTTGTAAGGCATGCTCTCATGAATACGCCACAGCAAATCTAACATCTAAACCCTAAACCCTAAACCCTAAACCCTAAACCCTAAATCTCCTTTGGCGTTCTGTTAGCAGCACAGACAGGACAGCGGCCTTCACAGGTCCAACCGGCCTAGTTATGAGCCTCAAGCTGCTCTACATTCATTTGAGTATGGGTAGTTCTCTAAAATAGGGTCCCTTTTAGTGTCCTTTTTATAAGGGTGCCGTACTATATTGGGGACCCAAAGAGGGATCCTAATTTAGAGAACTACCCATATCAGGGTTTATCAAGTGAAGCAGTTTACTCAACAAACATACATTAGCGACAGAACGGTGTTTGCCTGCACTGCATAGTGCAAGCATCCTTACTTCACGGTGAGACCAGGCACTCGTTACGGCATATGCCAAAACATTGCGAAATCTTTCTATCCGGAGCAATTCAAGCCGGATATGCGCATTGTTTCCGACGTTGTCTTGTGAGCCTTCTATCACGATCTGGATTGGGAAAGTCCTTGAGGTCAATCTGTCAGGTTGGATCACTCGAGTAGGAAACATAGATTCGGCGGCTTCCGGACCGCAAAGTTAAGTGTCGTAGCAGAGGATGGTCTGGTTTTTTGACATGTAGCGAAATTGGGGAAGAAGTAGGCGGTGGAGGATGGCCAGGTTCTTTGGTTTGCAGCAATGCAGCAAAACAGGGGAAAAGTTGTCGGCGGCAACGCTTTTGGCTTATTTGTCGTTGCAGATTTTGGATTGCGTAGCAACCGGCCGCGGGGATCGACTTCGATTGGCCCTGGATTTAGACGCTCGAGGTGGTGGTGCAGCGACTGGTCGTTGGACTAGAGGCGGTGGCACGACAACTGGTACTCGCATTCGTCGTGTACTGGCTTTCGGTACAGTCTGTGCTAGTTGCACTGGTCGTACATTGGCTTGCGGTACAACAACTGCAGTATGTGGCAGTTGCACACGTCCGACTGGTAGAGGTCTCGGATAAACTTCTAGTGCTGCCCTCTTTGCTGTTCCAGGCAGCAGCGGCGGCATGTTGGGTGCGCTTCCCGACGAGATGATCGCAGAGATTGAGGATTTTACACGATGTGTCTAAGTTCAATTTGTTTACACAATGCTGATGCTCATAATGCTTCCTACACATGGCGCATTTTCTAAGGCGAAGAACCTCACAACCAAGCCGTGCCTACAGCTCCTACAGACAGCGAAGTTTTTGTCGGCTACCTACCCGATGGCACTTGTTCGCATCTTTAAAGTTTTTTGTCGTGTGTGTTATTCTGATGTCACTCTATTAAGAAGTTTGTGATTTGCGTAACGAATCCTTCCGCCAGGATCTCGCGTGCTTCGTGTTGGTGATCGGTTTTTCAATCTGACAGCAGGCGGTGAAGAGCATCTCAGCCAAGCTGAGCGTTCATTTTTTGGTCTGTAAATACTTCTGAAAGCATCCACATGACACTGAAGCTATGCATGGAAAAATATGTGCACCTGGTTACCCAATATCAACCCAACTCAGTGGAAAAGATGAATCGCAGCTTCAGTCTCATCCGCAATCTCCATGTCACCAAGATTCAGAGAACCATCAAGTACGGTGGTGTGCCGAGGGCATGGACAGATGTGGAAGTGGATGAGGCTTGCTTCGACCAAAAGACATTTCATCCCTGGGAAATGTCTACGCAGGAAGCCACGGAGGGCAAGAACAAAGCATGAGAGCAGTGGGGTGGCCTCGTAGCACGTGGCAGTCCCAAAAGTTTGATGCTTTTCAAGCTGAGCCCGGCGATCACCAAACCCCGCGCACCTTGCCCAGGAGGCATTCGCAAAGTTGACTGGGAACCAATCGCTCTCAAATGGCTGAAGAACCGCCTCGTCATGCTTCACTCCGATTCTGCTCGTTCGTATCGCATGAAGGTCGATGGCATGCTCCATGATGCCGTGGTCCACAAAAAAGGCGAGTGAAGAAGGGCGGTAAGTTCGTTTGGGTCAAGCCTGTCTATGTCAAATCCTTCAAGCACAAGATCCCCGACGCCACAGTGATCAAAACGAAGGGCGGTACTCAGTTGATCGATAGAGCGTGGCGTTTTATCAAAGACAGCCAGCGTTTGAGCCAGCATGGCAACGCCTCCTCCAAGCAGCTCACTGCTCAAGTCCGCAGTGCCCAATATGAATATTGGCACCGCAATGAAGATCTGTGGGTGTGTACAGGAAAGCTGCTGGAGGATTACATGCAAGGCTTTGTCCAAATACCAGAGTGCTGAAGTATTCTGTTTTGTGTTCATGCGTTCCTGGCCTCGCAAACGTGGTTCGGTACTCTAAATGCTGGCCTCAGTCACAAGTTACTTACCGGAATTTGCGCGTATGAGAACAAAACAAAACCGCAAATAACACGTTGTACACTGGTTTGCTGCATGTTTTGCAAAAGCTTCGTTTGCCTCGCAGCGCAGTTTGCTGCATCGGCTGTTGCTGGCTCAACATCCACCGCAAACGGTGGATCTTGGGGCGGGGTAGCATATATATATATATGGTCAGCCCC